AACGATTTAACCCTAGAAAGATAACCATATGACAACGTACGTAAAAGATAACCATACGCTTCAGAGGCGCATGCTTTTCTAAGGCGTCAATTTTATACTAACAATGGATATTTATTTAAGTTAATCTAGTCATTTTAAAGGTTTGGCATTATTGTAAAAATAAAATGCATTTATATTATATTTTTTTATATTTTAAGTAATTTTAAACTTAAATCACTAGACCTCTATGAAAAATTAACAAAAATCAACAGTCTTCGCAGGCGCCTCTGCGACGTAGGTTATCTTTCTCGGGTTAATGAATTTATTAATCCGAGTCAATATTAATAAATAAATACAATCTTTTCATCAATATAGAGCAACAGATCTTAGTTACTTTCAGGGCTCGGTAGTTAAAAATACGTAAGCATTTAATATTTTTTAACGTGTGAAACATCTTAATCCCTTGCACTATAACAACGTGTTACATAATGATACATGATCTGCTACATACAAACGTTATATACTTCTTCTAAATCGAAATACAATTTGATTCTTTTCTTATCGAAGTTTAATGAAGGTAAGTAAAGACATACATGAAACAAAAACTGTCTCGTTCGATCAAGAAGAAGTGTTAATCAACGTGGTCATAAAAGAAATCATGAAAGAAATCAGTGCAAAGGGTTAATAATTAATCTACAATTGTTTATCCACAAAATGGCTGAATAAATGCAAGCAATCTGATAAACTGTTGGATTTATAATCACACAAATTACATTGATAATCCCCAATCATTTCTAAAACAATCTCTCTCACACACACCCCTTGTTTTATTAATATTTACATTAGTTCCCAAAATATTTACCTTACATTCTTTACAAAACTTATGCCACATAAGATTTTGTCAAACAACCTGCAGGTATTTCATTATCTCGTACACGTGCTATGTCTAAATTCTCCCGTATTACTGCTTCCCTAATACAATTATTAATAAAAAATAAAATTATTTAATACCAGTATCTAATCCAATCTCACACATAAACGATCACTATGCTTTCATCGGTAGATGATTTATTCTATTCACCAGTTTCTGAGACACAATAATAGATCTACAACGATTTTTCCGGAAAACAGCTTGCATCTTTAAAAATCGGTAGCAGCCCTTGCGAAAACTAAGTATTAATTTAGCGAAAGACAGCGGCTGGCTTATCGTACGCCCGATGCATTATTAATTCCCGCGATTTGTATGTGCAAAGAGTTTGCTCCGTCGGTCCAACTTCTCCTCCGAAGAAAATACCGTCCGTGGCCAGCCAGCCGAAAAATTACTCGAACCCGACGAACTTTACTAACTCGTGAAATTGCTCCTCCCGGGGAAAGGGGCTGCTGCTCACGACAAGAAAAACTTTCCCCTGGATCACCTGAGCCCCTAGGCGGCTCTCACTTATTAATTCCCCTAAACGGAACAGGTTGTTGTTTTTAAGGTCTTTCGCGAGTTAAATCCAAAACGATGCATGACTAATCCCTGGACAAACAGTTTATGGTGTTTGCCTGTTCTCCCGACCATCCCCCCACGGCGCGAATGCACCCTCGTGTCCCGCGGGACCGGTTCACCCTCGACCGATCATCGTCTCGCTAAGCAGCCGACACCGATTTCTCTCAAGCCTTCCTCCCTGTCAAATCGTACGACCGTCTTAAACGCGATGCAATCACATCGCCAATCATTTCTCGTCTATTCGCACTTAAAATATCACAGAGAGATTAATATTTCACGACTCGACCGTAATTCCGTTAAGTGTTACTATATTTAATTGATCTCTTCGCTCGTAAGACAATGATCATTTTGGTTCTGCGCTTGCGATAATCAATAGCTTCGAAAATATTGTCTACCTTTAAAGAAAGGGCTACATTTTATGTCGTGTGTAGAATTAATTATAAACATGACTGTTGTCGATCGTTTAATTCTATAAGACATCTGTTTGAATCTAGAAGACGCGAGTCACCATTTTCAGACTAACAATTTTCTGAGACATTAAATCTTTTCTGTGTAAAATTATTTATATAGATCTTAATAGCCGAATTCTACCAACATCGATTAAGTACCAATGTTTGATTCGTGACATTTTTTTCTACACGTCCACAATTTTTATTTCGCCATTGTTGTGGATCTAGAAAATCTGAACCACCCATCAGACTAAAAATGTCCTCAAATACTATTTTTATATTACATAAAATTCATTAAAAAGATGCCAGTTATCGATCGCTTCACTTTACAAGATCAAATAACGATTTAGAACAACGTTTGACTTGTGACATTTCCCCTACACGCTGTGAACGATCACTCTGATTAATAATTCTTGCCGAACACTATTTCTATCTTACATAAAATTAATTTTCAAAAGATGCCAGTTGTCGATCGATTTACATTGCACGACCAAACGACGATTAAATACAATATTTGACTTGTGACATTATCGTGGTTCTACAAGATGCGAACCACCGCTCAGGTTAATCAATTTTGCCAAAAACGCTAACACTATCCTGTGTCAAATTAATTATAAAGATGCCAGTTTACTCTACAAGACCGAGAAACGATTAAATATATAGCGTTTAAACTGTGCCATTTTTCCCGTACCACCACAACCTTTATGCTACCATTCTCTTGATCTTCTAGAGTCTAGAGTCAAGCCTGTGGAACACCTCTGGGACCAACGATCCCCATAAACCAACAAACTATGAGCGCCAAAAGCGACCATCAAAGCTCGTCGAAACCACAATAATCAAAGCACGTGCACTTCTCACTGCGCGTCCACACTGCCATAGAAATTACGCTCCAAACTATCGAAATACCTGGTGGCCAAGGAGTCGGAGACAGTGGACCGTCCCCCGTTGGTTCACTGACGTTATTCGAAATCCAGGCACGTTAAAAATCACGGGCAGGACGTCGCCGTCGACGGGAGCTAGCTTACTCTCCGAGGTCTGCGGATCTTCTGCGAGAGATTTGATTAAACGATCGACGAGAGAAAGAGAGAGAGAGAGAGAAGGAAAGAGAGAGAGAGAGAGAGTGAGTACCGCCGAACTAGATGGACCGTTCACCGGGGTGCAAACGAAGGGAAGGAAAAAAGAAACAACAACCGGCGAGATCAAGGAGCGTGTTAGGGGTGGCAGTGACCGACTGTCCGTATTCGGGCAACGTTTCAGTATATACACTTTGCTAAAACCTCTTTCTCCCTCCACGTAATGCGATCGCAGGGTTGAAGCGAGACTGGCGTCGGTCCGGGAGAGGAGAGACCGGGAGAGAGAGAGGAGGGCTGCGAAGAACCGCCCCCGAGTATGCCACCCGCGTAACAACCAACCCCATGGCGACGATAACGGGGATGAAGGCGGAGCCTCGGCTCCCTTGGCTTTCGGGGGAGGCTCGCCTCAGGGGTAACTACAAACACGTACTTACCGAACATTACGATCATGCTGGAGGCACGCACACAGCCACGCCACCGTTCGTGAGACGCTGCCGGTACGTGCACGCAAGAAAATGCCCTCGATGGGAACGTTCTCTCAGATTAATTTTTGAGGGAGCGCGGGGTGACGGGGGAGGGGAGAGGCGGAGTGCTGCTTCCGCTGCTGACGACGATAAATAATTGTCGGTCGGATAGGCTGCCTCTGCAAATGCTCCGGCTTTTTAATAACACAACCGTAGCAAGACCGATGCTTTGTTTCTACGAATTAAAAAATCAATTTATCAACATGATCACTTTGGTTCTCTTGTCTTTTGAACAGCTATGGATACGGCTAGAAAAAGACATGAAAGTTGTATCTTTGCGATGATCGTATTTCAATGGATTGACAATTTTTAATCGAAACGTTTTTATCGAACGTAATATTCCAGGAAACATTTAGCAGCAAGTAATTTTTATTTCTTATTGCTTCGGTACGTTGTGCATCGAACGAATTAATTTCTTCAGTGTGTAAATTATATTTTGTCTTTTACAACAGATTAACAACTTTTAATGAAAAATTCGTATTAAATGTAATGTACAAGGAAACATTTAACACCAAGTAACTATCATTTCTTATTGACTGAGAATGTAATCCTTTGAACGAATTAATTTGTCCACCGTGTAAATTATATTTCATGTCCTGCAACGGATTGGCAATTCTTAACGAATAATTTCTTACCGCAAATAGAATACCACAATGTCTAGTCTTTTCAAGATCAATTAATGTTTTGCAGTGGTATTTTTATCTTGTGCGATAAACATTGCAATACGGGATGGTAATCTTTAATGACAAATTTTCCATCAAACAGAATATGTAAAGAAATTATTGTATAGAAACAAATTATTTCTATTCTTTGTATTGCCTCTATGTGCAATCCTTAGAGATAATACTTATTTATACTGTGTTAACGGTAAATCTATTGAGCCGGTCATAATGTCTGGTTACGTACTTTTTGTTTTAAAGTCGATTGAAATTACGAAGACCTTTTCATAGAAAATGACAGAATAAATTTCTTCTTTCATGCATGCATTACAATAAAAATGGAAGCTCTAAATAAACACAGTATTTTCGTCGGTTATAAAATACAATATACACATTACTTACCTTCTTTGTTCGATAGATTAAGTGTTAATTCTACTTTATCACTTCGACCGAGATCATGGATTTAAATAAAATATATAAAACAATCGTATAGTATGAAAACAATTTACTTTCATTTCATACTGGTTCTATAGACATAATATTTTTATCCCTAGACCGCGGATCTTTATGCAAAATAAACATTGTCCGCATCTGTCACAAAAAATAAAAGCAACTTGAAAGTTGCATCTTCTACTTAATAATCTTAGTGGGTCGAAAGTAATGTAGTGATAGCATTAAATGTTTTCAATTTTTCAACTGTTTGTAATTTCAAATACTGAGAAACAAAATTGAACAATATGGGAAGGAGAGGTACGATAATTGTTCACAGTCGGTAACAATGAAAACAAGTTGCAAAAATCGAATAATCGTATCTCCTCTTCCCAAATTGTCCATTTATGTACCCGCAAACATTCTCGAACTTTAACATCATGATTAAAGCTTATCATCCCTGCGTATTCAGTCGGCATCGCACAAACTCTAAATATCCTGTTCGGCTCAAATCGGCCACATGTGTTCCTGGTTCAGGAAGTTGCCTCTAATACCAGACACGCGGCCTCATCAAAGCGATCCCTTCACCACTGGCAGACCATCGCTCCACCGTCTTTTGTCCTGGACCTAGTTTGCGGTTAGTATCCCGCTTACCAATATGTCCGATCAAGCTCCGAGCGAAGTCATAACTTCATCGTTTCGACGTACATAAGCCATGGCGCACACGCGTCCCATAATTGATCGTTTAAGAAATCCGTATTAATTGGCACCGGCGTTCGTCTATCAACCCTGATCCATTTTCTAAACGTTCCACCTATCAATCCACTGGTACTGGTCACATACAGGTGATCGCTAAGTTTTGACTAATTTTCTAAATTCATTTTTATCGTAATATATTCGTACCAACATTCATTATGATCAGTTTCAACTATATCCAGTTTTGGTTCATCAAATTACTTCAATCATATTACTTCGATTTCGTCGGAATTTTTGGTGGTTGATTTCTCGCACTTAACGCGTTAAATTGTTAAGATGGGAGATGGATGTTGTTTGTCAAATATGTTTACTCCACGAAGTAACCTAGCGATCATCAAAATTGTAATTTGCGGAAGAAACATTCGCATTAGTCGTTAATTGAATATTCGTTCAGCATTGTTTCTATAGTCGAAGTCAAACTGCAAATTGATTATTATTATTTCCGACCAGAGCGTAAATATTGTCATTTGACAATCTAGTTTCTAACAATTGTCTTAAATTTTCACGCGTCTCGTTAACTCTTCGCCGTGCCATTTTCTTCGTTGTTGCACCGATTAGAACTTTCCCGATTGTCACAATTTCTTAGAAGAGAAAGAAAATTTGTAATCACTCGAATGAAACCATACGTTGAAAAATATTGATAAGTAAAATGACGAATCAGTTATATTTTTTCCAAGAATGGTCGCCGTTCGTGTGTCGAATCGTTTATGAAAGGATAGAATGTGTTCGGAACAAAATCGAGAAAGAACCACGGATAAATTGTAGGCAATTATTTAACACGATACATGACACGACAATATTTCTAAAACTGTTTAACGATTAAGAAACTCGAAAACAAATTCACCGCGACCGCAATTTCGTCGCTTTAATCCACCTCTCGTTTTGATACACGAAATCATCCCCCAAAGCGTGGCGGCTACTTGCAAATGAACAGCCCGAGGGTGTCATATATATAGCATGCAAATCACGGTGTCCTGCGAAATCGAATTGCATTCAGCGAATAAAAAATGGAGTCATTCCAGCATGTCCGAAGCAACCAGAGCAAAAGATCGTTTTTTAAGAATCGTCGCGGAGAGCGCAACGCGCCACCGTCGATCCGGGACATTAATAAAATAATGCAGTTACGGATTTCAGGGTACTCGACTGCACAAGGGTGGATGGGAACAGGGGTGTAACAGAGACACGACCTTATGTCCGTATATCGTCACTCGTGCCTCTTCGTTTCTCTCGTTCCCCGGACGGCATAGTGGAAGCAGGAGGGAGAACACGCGTTGGCATAATTGGCAGGGGTCCGCAACAATATTTATTACATGTAGGGGCAGCAGCAATCGTAATGGCCAACTGGGGTATAAACTGCACCAGCCTCTTTGCGGTTCGTTAAACGGTGTTTCGTTAGAGGGATAGTTTCTGATTCTAAAAGGATGCACTGACGTTCAATCTTCACTCCCTTCTTTACGCCGACAAGTCAAAAGCAGGATTTCTCGCAAATTGTATTTACATTATTTCAACATTCCCCCTAAAATATTCGGTAAAATATGAAACACGTTACGAAAATTTAAATAATGTGTTTTGTAGATCATAAACGATATTGAGAATGTTGATTTAATCAATACAATTTATTTAATGAAAATTTATTAGATTTTAGTGAAACCCAGTAACAAGAACAATTTAATCTGCCAACGTAAAGAACAACTAAGCTGCAAAGAAACGATGAAAAAGCTCCTTGTCACGTCGACATAAAAATTGCTATCACAAAATCTCCATATCCTTACGAATGTGTCACAAATGCAGAAAATTGTTTCATCTAAACACCCTGAACTGGTTAAATGGGCATCGCCATGGAGATATGCATCCATTCAAATGTTCCAAAGGGGAACAAAAAATACTATAGCATTTTAATTAATGAAACTGAAACTAGAAAGTTAGAATTTGTCACAGTGGATAGTATTTTAACTCGTTTGCATTCTAAACATCCTAATCAAATTCAGTTTGTTCGAATACATTGCAATAAAAAAGAATTTATGTCAAAAACTAGTCGAAAATTAATGTCGCCCATACGTGAACCATAATACGTCATCCGTATTATATCATCCTAATTTCATTAGGGTCCTCGCATCGCAAGGATGTCGAAGATGCGATCGGTGCGATACAACTTAACTTTTCAATTTCAATTTCGCTAAATCAATCAAATTGAAACGCAAAGATGCAAAAACGAAAGACGTTAGAATATCTAAAGATTGCAAATAGGGGTTGAAGAACGCTCGCTCACGGTAGGCAAAGGTAAATCGTCAACCTGTCGTAGAATGTTTTCAAGCCTTAAAGCGACGGGGATTTTTTTGGAACGAAAACTGTCGATAGGAATAGCCGCAATCGGATCGTCCGCCGGTATTAGCATAACGAGTCTCGATTTGGGTATCGGTTGTTTGGAGGCGACGACGCGTGACGTTCTGTTAGGGTTGTCGGACGTATCGGTAAGAACGCGGGACCGTTGCATATGGGAGACGTCCGTGTGCACCAGTGATTTTCGGCGCGTAACCGTGCCGGCATACTGCGCAGTCAATTAGTTTAATAGGCCAACAGTTGTTGTCCGCCGGAAGGAAGGGTGTCCAAGCTCCCGTCACGCCCCCCACCCCCCGAGGGCTACTATTACCGCCGATTTAACGATTCTCTCGAGCAAAATCTGCAGGCTTGATTCCTTGACTCCTTCGGTGATTTACCTTCCAACTTCTCTCCTTTGATCAGCTTCAATTATGATGAGTGAGCTTTGCGCTCCGGGGAATTGAAGGGGTTGGCCTGAGCGAACGGCTAAA